CCCCACCACCCTCAGCATCACCACCCTCAGCATCAGCCCTTCACCATCAACCCCCCTCCCTCACCCCCTCAACATGAACATCAACCCCCCTCCTTCTCCACATCCACCCCCCCCTCACTCTCACATCACCCCCCCTCCTTCTCACATCACCCCTCTCCTTCTCACATCACCCCTCTCCTTCTCACATTACCCCCTCTCCCTCTCACCATCACCTCCCTCTCACCATCACCCCCATCCCCCTCTCACCATCACCCCCCCCATACACACAACACACTTCAAGCAGCTATCCCATACACATATGGTCTCAAACAAAAACGCAAACATGCTCACAGAGACATACATTCACACACACAAGGATACTCTCTGTCAGACACACTCTCAGGCACATACACAAGTAGACAGTGCCTCAATGTGTATATGTGACACTTTTTTGTTAGTGGGGCCTCATAAATTCTAGAGCCGCCTCTGTATATATATATATATATATCAAGAGAGAAGACAAGTAAAAAAAGGCGCTCAATACACGTCTAAAAAAATAACAACCATAAAACCTATAAAGCAGCTCCCTTATAAAGTGCAATAGCCCATAAAACACTAAAAATACAATAGTACAAAAAAAGGGTGCGCTGTGTCTTTAAAAAAAACACACAAACCCTATTTAATAAATGTGTTGCTATTACACACTCTACAATAGTGCAAAAAGGTGCAAGTGTACAAATATCACTTTTATACCAATATATTGGTGAAAATTGGTAATTTACAAATACCACTTTTATATCAGTGTATTGGTGAAAAATTAGTAAAAAAAACGGAGCACTTACAATACCCCGCTATATGTACCTTAGGTCTGGTTACTCCAGTTTTGCATACATATGTATAAAAAATAAATAAGAGAACATAGTGTAATACAGTATTATAAATTTTGTTGTAAAAGTGATATTTGTACACTTGCACCTTTTTGCACTATTGTAGAGTGTGTAATAGCAACACATTTATTAAATAGGGTTTGTGTGTTTTTTTTGAAGCACTGGAGTGTTTTTAAAGGAACATTGCACTTTTCTTGTCTTAAAGACACAGCGCACCCTTTTTTTGTACTAATATATATATATATATATATATATATATATATTAAGGCGGAGCCTGTAGTTGTGGGAGGGGTTTGCCGGCCTATTTATACACAGACTTACCTCCACTCAGGGCTGACACCGATCCAGACTACTTTGCGACCACTTCCAGCTTCCGGTCCACTTCCGGTTCCAGTCTGCCTCAGCGTTGCTCCCACCAGGAACGAAGTACCACACTGACCTAATCCTGGTAGACTACCACCCTTCACCCGCAGCCATGGGCAACTTCTGGCCTCACGTAGGGCACTGTTCCCCGGAGGCAATCCCAACAGCCAACCACAATCAAACTGCCGCATTCTGCCCCCGCCGCCACTTTACGGCGTTACATTCGGGCCGTGACTTCCAACGGTAACGTGAGTACCCTTAGATCAGCGTGGCTCTCCCGCGCTACCTTTCGAGTCACGGCATCTGGCTCAACTCCCACTGAGCCCCCGGTCTCTTAACTCCCTACGGATAGATGGCCAACTTACTCGTTACCGCTCCTATTCACCGCCAGTACTCTGATCAAATTGATCTCCAACCTACCCGCAGCTCCCGGGTCTCTGCTTCTTGCTTCCTGGGTCCGGTTGTTCGCCCCGCAAATTGTGAGTTTGACCATGCTGGGCATTACACAAATTATGCATTTGACAGTCGAACAGTCACTTACCTTATAGTCGGTCCACGATTCAACCACCTTTCAGCCAGTTAGCCACACGTTACATATTCACACCCCCTTGTTCCCCTCACGGACAGCCAGGCATGACAATCTTGTCAATTGTAAATGTAAAATAAATTAGTAAAATGAAGCAGAATATAGCATATTCGGTGGTTTCATAACTGTTTAGGTCTATTTACACCATAATTAGGCACGCTCCTTTCTTAGACAAAGTGCTATCTCTCCTCCAACACATACTCGTTGCTTGTTGTCACATGACATAACTGTACTAATGCTTTCCAAACATGCTTAAGATGGCCGTTATGTTCACACTTACGTTCTGTGTCCATTTGCATTCCATGATTTTAAACCTCGGCTTTATTAACCTCGGGTTGCACGCGGGCAAGAATTGTATACAGTCATAAATTACTACGTACAGCCTCTCTTGTTACTGATTCATTCACTAGGTACTGACCTAACTTATTTAAACCACCGAATACATTCCACTCGGTCAGTAACTTCTTTAAATTCAGTCCACGATTTGACCATCTTAGCCAATTCAGCTACACGTTACATATTCACATTCAGTGTTCTCTGCATACTGCCCCCTGACAGCCAGCCAGGCATGACAGCCTCGTCATTCATTGCATGATTGTGTCCCTTAGTTTACAATAAGGGTTGCTATTTACTTGTGTCGTGTTCAGTCAAATTACAGTGATGTTGAACCCACACATCAAGTTCCTTAATTAGTTTTGTTACCTCATTAGCATATTCTGTGGTTTCATATAGGTATATGTTAATCCACTTCCCAATTAGAGGGTTCTTTTCCTAAACAACGCGCTAAATATCCTCCTACAAATGCGCATTGCTTGATTATTGCGACTTTACTAGGTTATAACACTTTCCAAATATGCCCAATAAGGCCGCTAGGTTCACACTCACGTTCGGCCACCATTTGCATGTCTGGGTTTTGAAGCCTTGGCTTTGTTAGATTCTGGTTGCACATGGGTATGCACAATATACAGTCCTACATTAACATGTGCATTCTTTTGTGCCCGCCGGTTAGTACACTAGGTGCTGATGGAGTCACTCAAATGGTTACTCTGCAATCTCTCGAATCCCGTAATATCTCACATAATAATTGATCGTTACATATTCACGCCTAAACTATCCACACAACAACCTCAGCCCCTCCTTAGTGCATTAAGTTCAATTACTATTCTGCTTATTTGGGTGTGCGTATGCGGCTAGATCCACACATCTGTACAGTAAACACTGAATCCGCACTCTATCTAAAATTCATCCAATAAGTCACGTACTACCTGTATGCGGCCACCTTGCCATCCAAGTATTACTATGGGCTTGGCCTTGTACTGTTTACTTAAGTCACAGCCCTCCCTAGGCCTTCATGAATTACTCTGCACATGGCCATCAGGGTGCTTACCGCTACATCCTACTCTTTTCCCCCTCCAATTTGGCATGGCATATGGAAGCCGTATGGCTTCCCTGGATTATACACGGCTTTAGCATACCATGTTCAGGAAACACCATCCAGTCACACGGCCACTTCTACCCAGCGGACGGCACCCAGGGCATTACAGAGGGACCATATCCTCTGTTTACATACATTTATCCATTCCCCCCTATTATACCACTTCAGCTGTCACATTGATATATGTTATGGGCAACCAGGTCACTTATTTCACGTTCCAATCGCAAGTCATTCAATTAATGAAGTAGCCTGGCCACAGCTTATAGACGGCCCGCCATTGCATCATACAATTCTATTTTGTCTAGCCCCCACTACCCCCGAGAGACCAGCACATATACCAGGGATCTTATACTGCCCAACCGCCGTTCCCAGGCCAATCTTTATGGCTCCCACAATCTCGTTTTTTTTACCCAACTGTAGCCACGAACAATAGATACATCTATTACGGTACGTTACAAGGCTGGTCAGCTCCCATATCAGTTCCAGCCTATAAAAATTAACTACCACTCCATAATACTGCGGTCAACCATTACTCACAGCCTCCCTCCATATGTTTCAAACAACCTCTGCAGGCTATCCAATACAACCAAATTACAAATCCTCCAATGGCCAATTAAACATGGCATAATCTCTACATTCTGCCACTTAGTATTCAGTAATACCACTATGCGCAGCTCTGTTAGGCCATCACTACCTACGTTACATACGGCCCTTTGTGGGCAATCATTATGACACTATTACGGCCCCTCACTTGGGCATTTACATACGACAGCGGCATCATTGGGTCCACTCAAGTCTTCGTTCGACCCTCTCCACAC